CCTGGCAGGGACTGTCTGGGAGAGGTCTGTCGCGCTTGCCTTTTGGGGGAAGGGAGATTATTGTCCCCCATCTCGTGCAATAATTAGCCCGAACAATAAACATAATTGGGGGAAAAATCAGTTGGAATTCCTACGTTTTTAATTACGTTTCATTTTGTGGTAAGCCGTAAAATTATGAATGCCTCTCAATTAAACGCTCTCCACTTGTAAAGCATTTAACAACAATTATTCCTTAATCAGTTGGAATGTTCGCCACAAATGATGCTGTTAAACATCAAAGGGACGCCTTCCACGTTACCTTTTAGTCATAAGTAAGAGGATTAATTTCTATAATTAGAGGGGATAAATATGTGCATAAATACATCTCATTCCGCCCCCGCCCCCGCGCCGGGCACTGCTCTCTCCGGCGCAGGATCGGGCCCGGCCACCGCGTCGGATCCGGCTGCTGCTTGCTTCCAGCCCCTGAGGTTTACCTGGTTCCCAAGTGGCCAGTTTGCTGGCCCCTCGCCGAGCCTTGAAGACGGAGTTTAATGCTGCAAATAAAACGAGCCCGACCTTGATTATCCCCTGTATGAATATCTCATTTGCCTAATGACTTTATGTCACGTATGCAGAAGGTCAATTTCCTTTTAACCTTTCCCATTGCTGCAGTAAGCATTCTTTTATAATCAATGGCTGTTTGAATAATCAATTCGCATTTTATGATCCCTGACAAACTCAATATATGTGTGCCTTGTTTCAGCCTCCCCTCCTCGCAGGCGCTGGCAGAGATGGCCACGGGGGTTCCCCGCGCCCCACCGAGCAGCTGCTCCTGCCTGCTGAGCCCGGAGACCTCCAGAAAGCCCCTTAGCACGGCGAAGTCTGCGGCGAGGCATGATGGCCCGAGCCAGCGGGACACGAGCTTCGGCTGGCACAAAGGGATCCCGCTTCAGACCTGGCCTGTTCCCTGGTCTAGTGGGGAGGCTGGATGCTCTATAGGATGATGCTACCTATTAGTATTACTATTTTTCAGACTCATCTCAAGTGGACTCCAGCAGCTCCTTGAAACACACCAGCCTGGGAACTTGATCGGGTCTGGATGGGCTATGTATTTTCACACAGTTTTCTAACTACTGAAGCCAAAATATTGCCTTCCTCAGGCCCCCTCCCCCCAGGAATGTAGGTAATGGGATCAAAACGTCTGGGATATATTTTCCCTCTTCTACATTTCCTAGGGCACTGAGCAGTCCAAAGTTCTCCCAGCTTCCTGAAGCCAAAGGTAGCCCATTACCTGTGAGCCCCACCTCTGAATCATTTCTGAGGAAAGCACGCAGTCTTCAGTGAATGCACATGGAAAACCTTGAATTAACCTTTGCAGTAGATTAAGTACCCCACTGACATTAACTGAATTCTTATTGCCACTGGCCTGGCCTGTTTTATTATCACCCCTTCCAGATCACCTAAGAGTAGGGAAACTTGCCCCATCAATTGCAAATGATAGAGAAAGAAACTGCACCTCCACTACATTCATTATTAGAACAAAATAAACAAAAGCTGTGAAACCTGCCTGTGTTCAGGGGGTATGGGAGGGTTGAACTTTGCAAATAGTTTTCTATAAGTAGCTCACATTTGCTGTGATCTATTGGTATGAGTCAGGAACTGAGAGTTATTGCAACCCTGTTCCCTCTATTGGATAATTAATACTGATTCATAGCTTTTTCTACCTACGACTGTGTGTTTCGTTTCCCTCTACAGGGTCCATGGTTCACTGGTGTATTGTTATTCCCTGAAAGGTAATTGCACTTGATATTCTCCTGGGCAGACTCATTAGCCAAGGGCAGGGTGGCTTGCCAATCTTAGAAAGTCTTCCAACAACTTATTGTAAATATTTGCCCCAGAGGTTTAGTACAAATGGGAGCAGATTCTTAGCCCCTGACATAACCCTTGGGTGCAGCATCCCTGCCCCAAGCAATGGTAGGTCAGAATGGGGGCATTTTTTTTAAATCCTACTAAACCAGGAGATATGTTTAGTCTCATTCCTCATCATGCATGGTCGGAGCCACAAAAGAATGACAATATGAAGAAATTCAAGTTTTTCCTGAACACCTTTCTAACAGTTATTAGAAAAAAACACAAAATTACATAAAAGAAACCCAAAACCCTACCCACCCAACAGTGGATGAGCCAGATGAGAACCACCTTCCAGATTCATTAGCCTGGTCTCTTTTACACTCCTCTTTTAACATTTATTATAATGCATATTGAAAACATTTCTTGGCTGTCCACCACTGCAAACTTATTTTTCACACATGCCTAGTGTGACCTATCTGGCCCCTTTCACCCCCACCCCACCCCGTTAAATTAATTACCCACAAATGTAGAACAATGAACAACATGTTCTGGGAAATATCTGGGGAAAATAATTTCATATTACTTTGTGAAAGGAAAATCTACTTTATTTTTTGTCTAGTGTTCATTATTTTTTTTTAAATCTTATTTTCCTACTTGGATTTTGGCAGGTTTCAGCAAGATGGTCCAAAATAACATCACAGTGTAAAGGACAGCCTTGCTACAAAATGACCACCATAAGATGGATGAAGAGGAATGGCAAGAGACAAGAAATCTCAAGACATCACCACATTCACCAGCAATTTCAGTCTAAGGAAGTCTAGATAGCTGTAGTCACTATGTATTACACCAAAACTGTACATTTTAAATAGTAAATAAATAAATAAATACATAGAACCCA